ACCATCAGCTTATCTGTGCCTCCAACTGAAATGAATTCAGCCCTAAAATTTTAAACCAGAAAGAAGTTCCAGTGAAGTCTCATCTTCTAAAATAAATCACAATGCTGCACTGCCCTAAACAATCTTGCAGTAATAAATGTCATGAATCCATGTATTGCTAGCAGGAGTAGGTTTTAATGGGGGAAGTTGGTTTAACAATCCTTCCAGAGGTGCAAGGGACAGTTCACTTCACCAGAAGACAGAAACCCAACAGGACCCAAACTTCTTCCACTCTCTGCCTGATGTTGACAACCCCCAGCTGCAGCCTCCAGCTGCAGTACCTCTTCAGAGCAAGGGAGGAAACCAAGACTACCACACACTAAGCTTGAGGGCTGGCAAACAGCACACAGGGCTATCAGCCTTTGCAAACTAGGTTGTGAATTAGGCGACAACTGATTTTGTTCAAGATCATAGTTGTCCTCAGAAGGACCACGACATTTTCGTGATTTTGGTCTGCACCAGATGGACAAATTCAGCAAGAATATTCACAAGAACTCTGAATCTGTTTCCATAAATAACAGATTTCCATTGTGATCTTTAAAATGACACCCTAGTACAGTTTAGAAATAAGCTTTCCTATCTAGATGATACTGATTTTAACAGAGAGCAATCAGATTTCTCTGTTGAATTTTTCCACCTCCTATACAGTTCTGCTTCCCTCTACTTCAGAAGGTATTTCTCAGGCTTGGTGGCAAACTGGGATTTGGGTTAGGAGACATAATTTGTTTAGATCTAGATGACTCTTTCTTCTCATTAGTGCTGCACTTGCACACACAAGCAATTTTGTGCTCAGTCAGTTTTGGGTTTTTGTGTTTTATTTTTTTTTTTAAATCACCAAAGCTGCAGTTTCCCACTTGAAATGACAAATTTTGGGAAGATTGGTGATATTAAGCTTCTGCTCCTGAACTGCTGATCAGATGCTACAAAGGGGAAAGAAAAACATACTGCACAGACATTTTTATCACATCCCTTCGGTATATTCCAACTCTCTGAACTAAAGCAATTTGAAAAACAGACATAGTCACTATTTCATCTTCAATTTTATTTCCCCAGCAGGCACAATACCATGGTCATTCTTGAATTACATCCCATGATATGCCCACTTATGCCAAGAAAACACAGCCTGAAACTCATAAAGGCCAACCTGTATTGCCTCAGTCAAAGAAGGGAAGCAGCACAATGGTAAAATGTATCTATGATTGAACAACATAAGAATTCACTGTGTTTGGTTTTTGTGGGGTTTTTTTAATTTATTTCAAATGAGTGACTTGAACACCCCTGGAAACATTACTTTTCTTTCTGCTTATCCCCAGTTCAAAAAGAGAGCTCAAAGAAGCCTTTCTTAGGAAACATGACTTTCCCAAGTGTGCCTATTTATGGTCTTGCACTGTATCTTAAGGGACATAAAGTGTGGTAGTAAGGCTGAATTTGCTTTTATTGGTAAATATGATGTGTCACTCTGCCTTCCCAGGGAAGGTGTAGCTGAACTTACACCAAAACACAGACTTTATTTCTCTGGAAAAAGCATATCAAAATGTTTTACCCAAACAAGCATGACAAAATTAGATGGGAAGTTTTGTTCTTGACTAACAACTAACTAAACTTCATTCCAAAAGTTGACAGGAGATGAAATGAGGATTTGCACAGATGGAAACATTTCTGTGGGCATTTCCTTTCCCTGAATCCATATCCCAGAGCACTAAGAAACGAGAAAGAAACAAAATCAGAGAAGCCCCTACACGTGATTCTGACTTTCCTTAAAAAAATTAAGGCTTCAGGCTCCAAGTTCCAACTAGCCCTAGCTGCAGATATGAATAAACACTTGAATCTGAAGCACCTTCTGAGCATCAGCACATCCCTTCAAGGCTTGAATCCCAGAGAACTTCTTTCAAGTGAAGCGCTTCAAGGCAACATCGATTTGATGGTTTGACCTTGTGCTCAGACCTCTCCTCCAGCATAAGAGACTTTCAGATATTTGTAGTTGTAGAGAGAAATTTCAGCAGCTCAGTGGGAACTGATACCTGCACGGCTGAAAGGAGACACCAGGTAGGCATCAGCTGGGCTGCCCAGGAGGCGCTCAAAGGCAAACAGCACGAGATCACCCCTGCTCTGGGAATTTACTTCAGACAAAATACAAGTGAACAGAGGAACTGGAACTCATCAAAAAGGCTCTTTTTTTTTTTTTTTCTTAAATTAAAAAACTCCAAAACTCTTTCCAGGCATTCATAGTGTGCCTACATGGTACCTTTAACAATGTGGAATCCTGAAAAATGCAGGTAATAATTCTGCTGGTTGCAATGTGAAGCCTGTAATATTCAGCCATCTACTCGAGGAAGACAAATAAGAGCTAAACATTTCAGAACCCTGTATACACACAGCACAATTATTTCCAGCTGCAGGACTATCATTTAGCTTTATTCCTCATACTATTAATCCCTTCAGAATTCTAAAACATATTCCAAGAACAATTTTCAAAGACAAAGCTTTTTAAAAAACCTTAGAAGTTAACTGCTAGTCCCTATGGAAAATAGATCCTGGTTTTCAGTTGCACTGCTACTGCAAAGACAGCCATAAACAACGGGAAAACTGTTAATAAAGCAAGTGGCTTTGTTTCAAGCTGCCAGTTACAGTGAGTCCAGGTGTTGCTTACAAAAACACAGGATTAAACAATCCTGACCATTAGGAACTGCAAAATACTGCCTTCCTTGACATGCTGAATGTTAACTTTCGTTCACTGCATCTCTTGAAACAAGCTGCCTTTACCAGGTCCACTGTCCTTGTTGAAAGCTATTTGTCATACTGAACAGGGGTTCCTGGAAAAAAAACAAACCTCTGCTGGGAGCGGAGGTGTAGAATATCAGTCTAATTTTTTTCTAAGAACTCAGTCACACTGCAGTTTTACAAAAACAAATTATCTGCTTTGTTTTTTCTCAGATCAGTAGAAGGAACACAGTAGAAAATTAAGCATCAATACAGTATCCATACTGAAAGCAGTTCCCCAACAAAAAGCACAGTGCTGCTTTAGATTTTCCAGGACTGGTGAAGAAAACTCAGTAGTTAATGATGCAAAACTCACCAAGAGATAAGGCTTGAGACTCCTTTATTATCATATTGTGTTGGTGTATTGCTGATTCTCAGATTGTGGGTCAGCTTACACTGCAGGAGGCTAAAATACAAAAGCTTTGAGGGGGGAGGTCAGAGATAGGATCTGCAAATTCTGTGGTGGAGCTGAAGAACAATGCCGACAAAAAACCGCAAGCGAAGCTGCAGCCCGGAGCTACACTGTCCCTATGGCTCTTTCACCAGAACCACGGAGGGAGAGCCAGCTTTTGGGAAAAATGATCGAGCACACTTATGCGTTATACAGAAGTTTAAGAAAGGGATGTTCCTGCAGGTGTGGAGAAAACTGCCTGCATGCCTGAGGAAGACCTCATCCAACCCCAGCCACCCGACTTCTCCGAAGTATTATTTTCTCCAAGAAAAGTTACGTCACTTCAGGAACACAAATGACGGCATTATGCACTTATGATTTCCATGAGGGTATTGAACTGGCATTTCAACTATGACTCCCCCTCCAATAAAACTGTACGCTCACTCGCTCACTTCAGCACAGTGATTATATCTTGGAATACTGCAAGACCGATGTATTTTTTTTGCTGTTGCCATGACAACTATGCTGTTAGGTCAGACCTAAGGCAGCAGCTGGCTTCTCCAGACCCTGATAAGTATGGCTCTGAACTTCAACACCCCCCCTTCTAAGTATGTTGCCTATACACCAAGATTTTAGTAGCTTTAATTTAAAGAGAATTACAAACTACACCCATTTTTCTGCCTCCCAAGAATTGTTTGTATCATGAGGCTGGGAGCAGAAGTAACACAAACACATATTTCTCTGGTAGCTGTGGAAGCTCACATGACCTTAAGCATGCTGAAAATCTCGTTTCCAAGTAAATATGGGTATTAGCTGCTGGCATAAGTACGCTATGCATAGCTTAATGAAAGGGTGGCAAATACAGCTAAAGCTAAGGAAAGCTTTCACAGGATACCAGAGCCATGCCCAACAAAAATCTAAAACATTGTGCTCTCTCATTTACTCTCTTAAAAAGAAAATCAAATACGTTTTCAAATTAAGAGCTTGAAAATACTAAACCACAGTGTCTGTAAGAATGAACTTGACTGAGCATAACATAGGCAAGGAAAAGGGCTAGAATTTTCCATAAACACACAAGTTCTGCCACTGTAACCCCCTAGGCAGAGAGGTAACTACTACGGTTTGAAAGTTATGTTCATATCCAGTGCATCACTTGGCCAAGATTTCAAATGCAAGTGAAGATGACAGAAGAGTAGAAAAAAATAAAGCCCTTCACAGTTGAAATTTTTTTTGCAGTCATTCATATTTTATACTGTCCAGTTAAGTGCTAAAATGGACATTTAAGGAATAAAGTGTACTATGGTATCTTGAGATCACTTGTTTGATAAGAACACTTGCAAGTTTCTGTCAGCGCTGTTATTACCACTGAAGGACACACACACAGACTGAACCTTGTGGCCACGGGGTTGTGGCTGAGGGATTGAGCACTGCAGTGGTTTATTAAGGAGGGAAAAAAACATATAGTTCCACAGAGCATTCTCTGCTCAAGGCTCCCCTTGGCATTACACAGCATTGCTTCAGATGTACTGAGACAAGAGAGCCCAAAAAGCAGGAAAGCTGCTAAGAACTTGGAGCTATCCTGCCAAATCTTAACTCGCTTGACTGTAGGAAGAAACAAACCCCGAAGATTAAGTTTCTAACTAGCTATTAAGAGGAAGTCTAGTTTGCTAAAGCAAGTGCAGCTCTTTTCAGTTCGCACTGCTTACCATACTCGGCTTGTCCCCATCTTTGATAGTACTGACATTTATCTACATTGTGCAAGTTACGAAACGCCATCACTACAAATACAAATACAAAATTTGGAAAGCAATTTAAATGATCAGCAGTGTTTATTGCAAATCAGCTTCTCTCTTCTACCATTTACAAGGTGGCCAGTAAAAATAAGCACACGTGAACATAAAAACATTCATGAAACACAAACTGGTTTAATTAAAACTGAAAAGGAAAACACATAATGCAGAAATAAAAACTCTAGATACATAGCAATTACTAATTGTGAAGATGCTGATGATCTTGGAAAATCATTTGGGAATCCATGACCAAATATTCAGACTTAAATTCTGAGGGAAAGGGAGGAAACGACCATGACCTTCCAAGTCCTTCTGCACCACTCCACATAAAACTGTACTACTTGATATATTTTTCCATGAACTTTTTGTGAAATTCTGATCGCAGAGTATCATTCACGAATCTTTTGTCCTTTTTTGTTTCATCTATCCCCTTGGCACAATTCTTGAAGACAACGTCATCATCCCACCTGAAAACAAAAGTTTTTAACTTCAGTAAGTTTGTATGAAAATTAGGTGCAATTTACAAAAAACACATAAATGGAGTTTGATGCTCCTATTTAAAGAACTAGTCAGCAGGACTAGATTTTAGTCTTTCAGAAAAGAAGATACATTTTTCTATTCTAAGGCATCTCCTACATACTCATGAGTTAGAAGCAAGGTGAGTATTAGCAGATTAAAGGTTATCTTTACAGAAATTAATGACAATTTGAACAGAGCAGAAAAAAAACCTTTAATCTGATGGGCCTAATTTTTGATAAACCCAACAGTAACTGGAATACCTGCAAATAAGAACTGTGTTGAGAAAAAGGCTGGTATTCATTAATTTTAATAGGCGCAAGACAATCACTACCTGCATCACTATCCCAATCCTACATTACACTGCTTGTGACAAGATCCGAGGAAGGAAACAAAAACTAGTAGCAGTGATAACATTTTCTGACTGAATAGAGAGAGGGAGCAAGGGGACGGGTATCAGGAAACAAACTGCACAGTACCTCCTCTTCACTTTGAAGTTTGCCTGAGGCTGTGCTGGGCCGGTAAGGTTCAGCAGTGGGTTACCACTCAGAATGTTCTCCATCCTAATTCTTTCTTCTTCAGCCTTTTGCTCTTGTTCCTGAGAACCAGAAGAGGATATATTACTTTTCTACGCTGCTTTTCTCCTCTAGTTGGTAGAGATAATAATTATTTAATTGTGAACACTTGCACAGATGGAGCTTTAATTTCTAGCTCAGACTTTTCAGAGTGTTTGGCACTTGCTTATGAGGATAGAAGTAGAGATATTCTAAAGAGCCTAACTTTGCTAATAAACTGTCAAACACTCATATCTGCTCTACTTAGCTGTGATGCCCCATCAAATATTCATTTAAATTCTAGCTTTACCATTTACATATTTATTAAAAATTGTATACAGCTTAAAAGACTTTTTTTATCCTCATGAGAAAAGAGAGTACATCACACAATATTCACTAGGTAGAAGAAACCTTACAGCATGTTGAAACTTCTGTTTTCAGCAGCTGTTTGGGTTTCACAACTAAAACTTCCCTCGGGACCAATTAAAAAGGATATTGAGAATTCCTCGGTGAAACTGAACAAAAGATGTCATAAGACTATTTAAGAGTTCCAATATTAAGGAGCAGAAAAATTTTCTTCTCCTTGTACTGTCAAATGCTTGTAACTTAAGCCTAAGTGAAGCAATGCACTACAAGCAACACAAAGTAATTTCACTGCCCACGCTTCCAAGCTCTATTAACATATCTAGTGACTTAAATGTTCACAGACTTCAGAATTGATGTGTAATATTCATTTTATGTCACCGTATTTTTCCACAAGCTTTCACAAATACTGCCGGGAGTGATCTCAGATGAAAGAATCAGAAGGAAAAAGAAAAATTTAAATTTGGATGACTAACCAGGTCTGAAGACATTCTAGTTAAAAAATGAAGTCTCATTAGCACTGCAGGAGAATCAAACCAGGGTTTTTAAAAATTATATAAATTAAAGGCAAAGAGATCATAAGATTGGTGAGGGTTTTTTTCTGAACTGCAGAAAATTCATGCCTGAGGACTTTTACGGGATCCCAAAAGAGGAAACAATTTCCTTGATGCAAGTGTTTATCGGGTTTAAGTGCTAAACTCGATGCTGATGCTAGCCAGAGCTCTCTAGCTTTAAATATTTAATCAATACTAAGTGATTTATTACTATTTACAACTTACAATATTTTTCAATTAAATTGATCAGGTATGTGAAATTCTGGATGGATGCCCCATCCCTAGAAGTGTTCAAGGCCAGGCTGGATGGAGCTGTAAGCAACCTCGTCTAGTGGAAGGTGCCCCTGCCCATGGCAGGGGGGATGGAACTAGATGATCTTTAAGGTCCCTTACAACTCAAACCATTTCATGATGCTATGAAATTTTCTTTTAAAATACTTCAGTTGTCCTAAGAACACCACAGATTTCACATACTTACGAATACCAGATGATGCAGGATCACTGGTAAAGATTTTACCTTCCAAAATCTACTCAAGTTTTAGTTATGAAAAAACACCCACCAATACACTGCTTCTCACAAATAAAATGTAGAACCAGCTGCAATTAATCGCCAGTGGGATGACAAAAGCTCCCCAAAAGGGCATATTGCTTAAAACCAGGGCACAGCTTCAGGACAAGCACTGTAATGCCCTTATTAAACCACATGCATAGGCAAAACTTGCCTTTGCTGCTGTATCCATGGAGCTTTAACACAAACTACAGCAGTTAAAAGTTATTAACATACATCAACTAAAGTTTTAATTTTCAAACATAGCTCTAAATCCAACATTTGCATTCCAACTTCAGTTATTACCACCACAGTAAATAAGGAAACACAGAGAGCAAAAATATTTTATATGGAACAACAATTTCTCCCCATATTTGAAATACAAACTCACATTATATTTTTCTCTGTGGATAAGAGACAAGAAATGTATGCAGCTTCTCTGCACAGCATGTCAACCTCTGATTTACCATCATCTTTCTGTGTAACATGGAGTAGCCAACAGCAGTGAAATACAATTTACTGCCCTCTGTGTCATGTCTTCCCACCAGAAGTCCAGCAGCCCTCAGACTATTGTACAGCTCATGCATGCAAAGCACTGATTTGAAACCAAGCAAAATCTAGGATACTGGTATGACCGAAAAACCCAATATTGATCTTCAGGTGTCTCCTGGGAGGTGATCAAATTCTCTTTAAGACCATTAAGCAAATTTACAACAGGATGCAAGCATGTGAAGTGTTCTCTGTGTTGTCCAAAGTGAGGTGGGCTCTGCATCATTAACTTTAATCTTCAATGCTCCATTAAAAGTGAGACTCTGAAAACACAAGCAGCCTGGGACAAACCTTGAAAGCAAATAAGAAAGCTGCATACCAAAAATTCATACTCAAGAGAAGGTAGTACTAATAAGACCACTGTAAGAAAATAATAGTCCTCTGTTGAAAAATGCTTCTGTGGAAAGAACTTCTCCCAAGTCCTATACATGCAAACAGACACGGCAGTTTTCCATTTCAGAACTGAACTCCAGGTGAACTCTTCTGAAGGTGGCACGTAGAGCACAGCACAGTCTTGCCCTCAAACTTCCAAGACAACCTCAGCTGCAACCCAAAGTTACTAAACCTCTGCATCACACATTACTTTATCTGGGGCAGACATTACTATCTTAGACTGGGTTTTTATGATGCATGAAAATGCATCCACACACCACTGACAAATACAGAACTACAATGCTCTCCACACACAGTGGTTTTTTAATGATCAAAGGTCAACTGGAGTCAGCCAGCACCTTTTGGTGGGAATTACAGTTCTTCTTCCCTCCCTTCCCCCATTTTGGATTTAATCTCAACAGTTCCTACAAAGCTGATGCTTCCAGCACTCTCTACCCTGCATGAAGAGAAGTGAAAAGCACTCAGTCATTTGAATTGTAAACATTGAGAATCACTAGGGAATTATAAAGCCAATATTAAGAATCATAAAAAATATGCATACAGTACTCCAGTGTTCTTATTACATAAAGATGTACACTCAAATTTCCTATAATAAGATTTTTAAAAGGCATGTTACACTTCATCCTAACTTCTATCTGCTTGACATAACCCATGTAATATCCTTCAGCCTCAATTAGCCTGACATAGCTTACTTCCTGACAACAAAGAAAAGCATTATCAGACTGAAGTGATAAAATGTGATGATAGAAAAAACCAACCAAAACTGAAATAACACTTTCAAGAAGTATTACACTACAGGCAATTGTATAAGACCAAAAGAGGGACTGAGGTCTGGGTTAAGACACCTACAGCTAGACATGGGCCCATAGGCACCTGAGCTCACATCTCGGCAGAGGTCAAGAGGATACAATAGGAAGTCAAGATGGGCCTTCTGTTCATACTAAACTACTCACACAGGAGACCAGCGACACTCCAGGCTCTACTGACTGCATCTCCACGGCACCACCGTGGAGGCTGGGATACATAACCTGCACATTGGCCCCAACAACTTGGCCTTTCAGGTTCAACTGGATTCTGTCTAAAGCTGGCTATTGCTAGCAAAATATTGCATTGACTTAAGTGAATTACAATTGCAGAGGACTGGAGGGTGGCAAAAACTGCCTTATAATTGAAAGAAGTGGTAGGGGCAATCTTGGGAATTTCATATGATTACATTTTACTTTTGCACCTATTAAATTAATAAAAACAATTATGAACATAACATTAACAGAAACTGTCAAATGTCATTTTATAGTGACAACAATTACAGAAAAAAAAATTCAGAAAATACAGAAAAAAAAGTTTTCTGTATTTGCAGTAGGAGATGCTGCAGAGCCCAGGGGCACTTTGTGTGGCCCTTCACTGCTTCTCAGCTCTGGTAACAAACACAGTTCTGCTGTCTTTTAGACCTGCAGAGGCAGAACAACTAAGTACTAACAAACTGCATAAGCTTATCTTTGTCATTAAAAATCAACAGATTTAGAGTGTGAAAGCAAAGAAGTCTTAGGAATAAATAGGTATTCTTGCAAAGTCTGTAGTGTGGTCGCATTTGGTGGTGGGAAGCAACAAGTTACTGGTTGTTCAGTTGTCAGTCACAGAAAGGTGCGTCTGCCCAGAAACAAGGGGATCTATCAACAGCAAAGGATCAGTAAACCTCCATTTTGAAAATGCTAGGGACCTCTTCCCTAATGACCATGGAATGGGGGACACATTGCAGGGGTGTCAGAAAGCCTGTAACCCTGGAGTACTTCAGCCACTGGGGAAACGGAGGGACCTGGGTTTCGGGCAAGGGGATAAAAGATGCTGTGACCTCTATCAAGTGGAGAGACCTCACTGGGGATTGTCTAGTGAACTCTCCCTTTTATTCAAATAAAAGTTTTAGTTAGCTCCTCTGTCTCTGGGATATTTTTGAGGCTCATAATAGCAGAAACAGATATATTTTTCAGAACAGAAGGAAGCAGATCTGTTGACTAAGGCATCGCCAGTTTTAGTCACTTTACAAAGAAGACTCGGCACATATGGTAATTTATTTATGGAATTCAGTTGTTCAAAGCTGTTCTAGGTTGGATGACATATCAATATATTTGCTACGATTTTCAGGAAACAGGCTAATTCTAAAGACTGGTCTCAAAGATCTTGTTTGCATTATTTAGCTTCACTAAAATTTCCCAAAGAAGGTATTCAAGACAAAAAAAAAAGATAATTTACTAAGTTTTGTATCTTAGAGACATGACGTGGAGAAAATACTAGGTGTAATTCACAGCATTGTAAAGTTGACATTTACACTTAAGCTAAGTGATATATTTTGGCCAGAGATACAAAATCCCTCATTTCCAGCCAAAAGAGGTTTTCATTATGTTTCATAATTTTCCACATAAATCTTCCACTGCCCACTCCTCCACTGAAAGCTGGGACACTGCAGGCGCTGGAGCATGGGTTGTATTAAATCAAACAGACCAGACGTAACCTTCATAGCTGTCTGAGCTTCACACCTCTGAGGCACAATCTAGCACAGCTGTTCACAAAATAAGCAGCTCCTAGTGCCTCCGTTGTTCTTGTGTGTGGTGGAACAAAGGCTTATTAAGCTACAGCACTACGA